GTCCAATTCAATATATTGTTCACTGCCCATTTGCGGCTACTGAACAAAAGCATGTGAAGTTCGTGGAATTCGGTTTCGCCGCAATTATCACTGACCGTCCGTCGTTGAATTAGACTACGCGTTATCTGTCAGATAGGACACCTAGATCGTGCGTTTAGGCTAAGTAACCTATTCCTTGCTTTGAGATCACAGTCTTAGCACAGGATAGAACAATAACTAATTGCTGAACAATACTTGTTTATCATACTCGTCAGTGTTGGACAGGAACTTCACATCCGAGGCCATCCGGTAGCGGAACCTGAGAGTCTTCAAAGGAGTAAACTGGAAGTAAATAGGAAAACTCTTTCCTTTTTGCCGCCAGCGCAGACGTTCCGAATTCACCTGGAGTCTTGTTATCCTTTGGAATGCGGAAGGAGTTCAGAACAGCTAAATCGCTGAGTACGGCATTTTGCCTTGTTTCACGTCGATCACTTCACCAGAACTGCGTGGATGAGTACCTTGGCCTGAGGTACAGACATCTCCAGTACAAAAATGGTCTGGCAGCCACACCATTTTGTGCCGTATGTTTAGAAACAGTTACTGTCGCACGTTTCATCCATGATTCATGAGGAATATGCCTCTTGTGAGTGTTTGTCAGATCAGTAATCCAAATGAAGATGGCCTTTTATATTACTTGTCAACGTGGTTTATGTACGTGTACGGCAGAGTACGCGGAAGTCTCCGTACAATTCGGTTGCCTTTCGCAACCCTTTAGTCTGACATGGCTCTAGGAGTTGTGGTTCACTTGTGTGCGGTTAAATCATCCGGAGGGCCAAAGAATTTGCCAGCACCACGAGTGGGATTTCATCTACAAAGTTCTGGAGTTCACACTGCTCCGGATAAGTTCTGAGAGTTTTGATGATATTCTTACATATCATAAGTGAATTTCAGGGTAGAAAGGCGTGAACGCCCCGCAAATTGCCTATAACAGTCTGTTCTCTGTTCTCAGGGTAGAGAGGTGAGAACGGCCCGCAAATTGCCACGAAAAGTTTGGGCTCTGTCAAATTTTGGAGTGGCTGAAAACCTTCAGCAATGACCGTTTCACAAGACTCGGTTGAACGGCTGAAGCTTCAAGTGTTTAAGTCACTATTAAGTATGTGTTGAGAGATAAATCGAGTTTACGACACTTAAATGAGTCCTGGAAACATCACAAACCAGATATTCAGCTGGCTTCCGGGTGAGTCCCTCGAAAAACCAACCTTGTTTTCAAATGAGTGTATTTCGCTAAGTTCGTGCAATTGGGGTTCAAGTAGAACATAAGGTTGACGGAAACTCGGGGACTGCGCCTACCTGATGAGCCCGAAGTGAAAGGTCGAAACCGGTCGTGGGCTGCTGAGGAATTTTCAATATACATGTGTCGCGATACCTCGAATATCGTAGCGACTGAAACATGAGGCGGCCTGGTGCAGCACATTCATTTACCTCAAAACATCACAAACGAAAGATTCAGCTGGGTTCCAGGTGAGTCTCTCGAAAAAAAACATTAGTTTGCAAATGAGTGTATTTCGCTAAAATGAGTCCTTTTCTATCTGTTCCGCGTGGTTGTGATAAAATTCTTCTTACTATGACCTTTCAGGCTGATTTCCTGCGGATAAACACAACCTGAGTAAAATTCACACGTCGCTCCCAACATACTGGCATTTCGATTTGTGATGTACGAGCAAACGCTAGCGGCGAGAAAGGTTCTGTTTATGGCTTCCTGGGATCCACAGTTTATCTAACCAGTCTTCGGACCGTCTTGGAGAAGCAGGCCAAGCTAACTAACCTCCTCCCTTACTGTAGTAAGCCGGGGCATTAACGAGATCCCAGCCATACCGGAAAAATGGTTTCTCAAAGATTAAACTTACTTTGACCAGCTTATTTTGTTTGCCATAAAACATGAACAACGAGCGAAGGTTCTCTTCCTTTTTTCTTGGAGGAGGCCTTTGAATTTCACTCACCGTCGTAATCATGCTGACCCGCTGTTCACGTGACACCTCAAAGAATCAGTGCGAGAGCTAGTGAAGCTGACACCTGGAAAGTGCGAATTGTCAACCAGCTTCTTTTTCCGCAGTGAACCTAATCGACGGACTTTGTTTTGATTATGTATGACAGCAAATCTGCCGCCAGCCTGTTAACGATAAAGCATTTCTCGAAGCCAATATCCAGTTTACCAGTAGAACACTTGCAGCTACTGGTCTCACGGGCGGGGGCATTGCAACATTGTCAAAGTACCTTGAGAAAGAAGTAAGCTGAGAGTATATCGAGGCGTTACTGTCCGACTGCGTGGGCCATGACTGCAAAAGGTTTCATCCTCGCATTTGAACGAACCCCTTCGTGGATTCACATACTCCCACAACCTTCCGTCCTTCCACGTTCATAGTCCAAGGACGTCTGGCTGATGTTCTAGACCCCTTTGTCAATCTGTAGATCTTCGGCTATTTAGTTCTTTCATCACCATGTGCTTGAATGTTCATAGCTTCTTCGTGTATGGCTTAAGGAAAATATTTGTATCCATGCGGTTTCCACCTATATGTTTTCATGTACTGGCAATTCACTAAATAACGCTCAAAAGGAATCTGATACATGCTGATCACTACGCACTTGAAATTTTACCGGCCTACTCAGAAGGCAGTTGGTTATTCTTTTTTGGTCCCGTCTTCGATTGGTTTGGTTACCTGAGAATCATTCAACATTTAATCAGCTCGTCTGGACATTTTTCAAACCTCTCATCACGAAGATCGTCTCAATCACGATATGTGTGTGAAGCAAGAACATGGAGATGCTCGCGGTAAAACTCAGAAAACTCCTTGTTAATATAAGTAGTCTGGTCAGGAAGACGGATATCTCAAAAAACAACGTTTGGGTTATCACCTGAGATGTCGTTGAACGCGAATCCAACCTAAGAGGAAAAGTAAAACGAACAGTTTGAGTGAGTGGGGCTGTATCCGTTGAAGTGAGTGATGCTCATCCTGATGACCAGCCAGTCGTAGTTAAATAGTGCGGTATTCAGCCAGAAGGTCGTGGGTTCAAATTATCCTTGAACTGCAGCCATTAAGTTAACATCGAATTCTCCCAGACCTTATATTTCATTTTGATTCCAACTGAAGAATTAGTTTGTAGTTGAGACTTCAAAACCTCACAACCAACACAATTCGTTTAAAATGGTCACAATGAAGTTATACAACTGTTCACACTCACATCACTTTCGTTTGAACAGTCAGTCGTCCTCCTGGCGTAAGTATTCTGGTGAGTCCACACCAAAGAGCAGGTCATACGAGTTAGAAACAAAGATTAACACTGAACTGTTCATCCAATGCACGTGTAGTGGAAACGAACTGATATCCAGAACGCCCCACCACCATTCGATTCGCTTTATGAATTAGTTCAGAAAATAATTGCACAGGAACAAAGTTGACATCGTTCCGCAAAACAAAACCAATGAATACGGACAACTGACACAGGTTGCAAAGTAAATCTAACCTTTAACGCCTTTCTGGCAGGCATTCCGTAACAGAGCAGGAATCAACGTTCAGTGCTTTCCATCAAGAATACAACTGTGGGGGAAAGGGAAGAGCTAACGGCTCGCTTTGTATCAGCCTCTCTTCCATCTTGACCCCATGGCTATGTGCACTTACCTCAGTGTCACGCTGATACCACTGCGATTCCAGCACGAGGGAATCGGCTTGGCTTTTTAAGTCACAATGGAGAAAGCACTGCAGAGATCCCATTTTGAACCAATATTACGTTTTTATGCGTCCTTTGCAACCAGTCAGTCAGGTAAGAAGATGGTTCATGCTGATTCGAATTTCTCATCCATTTGGTGGTCAATGTTTCACTGGTCTCCTCGTGGCCCTGACATCTATTTGACTGACATCCAACCCATTTGCTGGATAGAAACCTGTCCTGTTTTGAGCTCTTCTTTAAGGCGTGATTCCTGAATTTCAAGAACTATTTTGTTTCTTAAACAGCAAGTGTTACGTATATTTTGTTTGAGCATTCAACTGTCGTTAGACTGACCGCCTGAAAGTTCAGGTGGACCGACATTTCAGATATAGGGAGAATTTTTCTTTCGGAATCAACATTATTAGTAGTATAGAGGGAAACCCATCGTCAACAGCTTGCTGCTGATCTCGTCCTGTTTGGAATTATCACGTGACCGTGTAATTGGGATTATATTCGAGCTTGTTTTAAATGTACTACTAACAAGACTTTAGTCTGCAAATATACCCCAGGTGACTTGCTGTTTCGAGACCCTAGCCTCGTGTGACTATCTTATTATCTGGCCACCAACTTTGCAACCTGGTCCAACCGGTTTGACGGAATCCGCTAAAGTTTAGTTGCCATTCCCGTGGAGCATTTTCCAGACTTGTCAACTCATTCTAACCTGCACAAGGACATATATATAATTACTCTATTAGCCTCGCATCTGCATATTCTCTGGTTTCTCATCTATGACTTTCTAAATGAGCTTTCAATTTTTATCAACACTAAACTAGCAGATTTGTATGCTTTCTATATGTGTACTGCAATATGAATAATTTATTTTCACTCGATTGGAATTTTTTTCACTTTCCTGCGAATACCATTTTACTTATAGTTTGTCTTATCTCACAGCCACGGGGGAAAAACGCTTTGAGGTTAAAAGTGTTTCTACCAATAGGTGAAGAACATACCTGACGAATGACTAAATCTACTGTACGAGGAACCTGTCGGTTTACCCACAGCTCCGATTAGCATACAAAGCTAACATACAAAGCATGCAACGCTCGTAAACATACAATCAAACTTTCTCATGTCCTGAAACGGGTGAGGAAGAACGCTTGGTTCGCTGACAATGCTCAGTTTACCCTAGTCCGGAATGAGTGACAAAAGTTCGGAGAGGAGATCGTCAAATGAGTAAATATCAGTCAGTTGGCCTAACAAACCAGTACAAAGCATCAATCAATAGTGAACTCAATAACAGAAACAATCAATAGGCAGACGCATGTCACTTTCAGGGTGTGCCTGATACGTGAGTGACGTTCACGAAATAGATTTAACACTAGTGGACTGACCGCACTATTTAGGTTGAGTGATAAATGCTCATTGTAAGAGGAAACGGGCAACCTCAGAGTGTAAAACACTAAGTTGACGTGAAATTTGCGATCATCAGTGAAACAAATAACTTTATCTAAGCTTTTTAAGTACACCAACATTTGTGTTGAATTAAATTCAAACTGTCTCAATTTACATACAGTATTCTCCCCTTCGATCAATATCAGACCCTAACTCACACCACCAAATATCCGGCATTCCAAGAACTCGGACCAGGATGCACGGTAGGTGGTTATGGGTTTCAAAACTTATCTGCTTGTCATCAGCTTAATCATCTATCTCGGCAGCATATGTTCACCTACCTTGGAGAGTGAGATGGTCCACGTGGTTAGAGCGCGAATTTACTGACCGGAAGGTCCGTGGTTCGAACCCGACTTCTGCCTCTCGACCTCCCCTGTCCAAGCTTGGGCAACCTGACAGTATCCCAGCCCTCATGCTTCCTTCGGGCGGCATGACGGCTAAGCACCGAAAGGGTGTTGTTACAGCTGAAAGATTTTTATCTTGGCAGATACATAAGCCATGACCACACTGTGGCACATGAAGCCGGTGCACACATCACTAAGCCACTAGTAACATTTGCCAACTTGCGTCACCTTTGGCGTCAGATTGGCGTTTGTGACAGCAGTCCCAGTCTGTGGCCATAAAACTTTGGTCTGATTACTTCAAACATCCTCGGTTATCTGATCACCATCACTCGTTGACTGTCTACCTCACATACGTAGTGAAACGGTTCGTAAGTAAGGACTAGGCAGAGTCGGGCCCGCTCAAGCAGCAGATAAGGCTTATCAGGTTGATATATACAGTGCGTGTACTAGACCACTATACAGCAAAGTCAGGTTTGCTACTCCAAGACCTTCAAGATGATGATGATGATGACGATGATGATGATGATGATGATGATGATGATGATGATGATGATGATGATGATGATGATGATGATGATGATGATGATGATGATGTTCATCATCTTTCTCTGAAAAAGCCGACCCAAAGTGGCTTATACTGGATTGATTTTTCCGAAGTTCTTTCCCATGGAATTTTTTATCCCTATGGAACACTGGCTCCAAAACGACACCAGGTTTAGTTCATTCTGCTAGACTTATTTTAATCACCAAATCCCAATTAGGATCTCCAAGAAGCTATCTACTCGAGGGAGAACTACAATTTGGTCCATCCCGTCAGACGGTATTTTGACGGTTCATCTAGTTAGAACAGTTGATTTTTATAACTGATTTATCCCCAGAATTGACTTTCTCCGGAAAGTCCATTTTGAACTGAAATCTGCAGATTAATTACCCAGAAGGAAAACTATTTGTCGTCCAGCATTTCCACGAGCAACCACAATAGACCGATTGGTTTTTATTTCGCTATTCAAGCCTCACTGAAATGAATAAGACTGATTCTATCGTAAGACAATAAGACTACCCACAGTGATCATCTTTAAAGTGGAGCTAACTTCAAGAGATACACTCATTTGCAAATCAATTTGGTTTTCATGGGAGACTCAATCGAATCTTTCGTTTATGATGTCCTCCAGCTGAATGTGCTGCACACAGGCCGCCTCATGATTCAGTTGGTACGATATTCGAGATATCGCAGTAT